TTTATATTCTATATGCCTACTATGACCTTCAGACATTGTATATAGACATTCACTTAAATTTTCCTTCTTCTGTATATTTGGAATGCATTGAAGTGGATAAGCAAATGCCATAAATTTAATAGAATCGTTAAGAAAGTAGACTGGAAGTGCCCTGGAGACGTAGAGAAGTTTTCGTTTCTGTTAAGAAATAATTTTGTCCTGACAGTCAACATGTTAAGTCTCTTAAAAAAGTCAGCTTCCACTTGTAACAATATTCCTTGTGCTATTTTTAAGTTATGTGGAGTGGTAAGGTGATTACACTGGCAAACCCTTCCTCTCTTGCAAGGTTTGCCGGACTGCAAAACATTCCTGAATGTGATTTTTGGTGGCATTGATTACGAGCCAGTGGACTTCTTTATTATTCTTGATCTTATTACCTTGGTTTGAACCAAATAGTTTCTGAGCCTGCAAAGGTCTGTCCAATGCATACAGAACATGCTTGATGAGTAGATGGCAGTCTAATTTTCTTTTAGTTGTGTATTTTCTAGTGCTTCTCTCTCATTTTCTTTTTGATCTATTAGATGAACTCGCTTAGCTCGCTCCTCAAAGTTTGCCATAGCTTGCCCCATGACAAAGATAGCCTTTCAGCTTACGAGGCTGCACGGTTCAGTTTACAGACTCCAAAGGGAAAACTGATAGCTGATGTTGGTTGCGAACCAATTCTGCATATGCGAGATTTTCAGGTTAACATTATCCTTTTTCCGCTTATCTCTATATCAATGTGGCATTTTAAGGCTCATAATCCAAGCCTTCTGTACCTTCTGTTTGCAGGCTACAAAAAGACTGCCGGAGAAGCTGATCGACCAAATTCTCCACAATGGCGGTGATGAAGTGTAAATTGTATTAACGGACAATGAAAGGCTTGGAGGCTCTCAAAGCAGCTTGATTAGTGCTGCATTCTCGAAATTAAGAATATGCTATGAAATGAGAAGGCAACAAGTTCGACAGAAGCTAGGATACAAAGTTTTTATATTGTAAAAGATTATAAATAGAATTTTCATTCCCTTTATTGTTTTGATCTGGATATTCATTCAATGTAAAACCCAAACTTCCAAAGCAAGACTGACGACTCTTTTGGTATGTTGGGTATAATAGATTGGATAACAATTTATAGTGCTGAAAAAAAAAAAAAACATTTTTATAGTGAATTTGATTGAAAGTGTGTTTTTACACTTATTTGTGCTTTTAAATGTCATAAATTATGATTAATTGAGCGAATATATAGATAAGTAGACCACCAGAATCCTCAAATCTGTATAGGGCAGGACAACAATGCAGAGAAGGGTAAGAAAGTGTTTTACAGACTCCCAAGCAGTGTTGGGACAAGATTGCAACGAGGGTCAAAGGTTCCGGAGCCTGAAAATCATAGGTACAGTGGGACTAAGCAAAGAAAAGATCAAGAAACTATCAGTAGCGTGCTCTTTATCCCAAACTTGTAACTGTCATGTTTCTTATGCTCGAAATGCCTCAAACACACAGTTTTCTAGTTCTCGGGTCATTGACTTGGGATAGACAACATGACTTGCTCACATTAGTTAATTACATTTGATTCATGTCTTGAAAACCTTTAGCAACCCTTCCTGGTCTGGGGACCATCAATCTAACCTAGTGCATTCGTCAAATAATATAGCTCTCGTTTGGAGCACATTTTCAGTTCATTTGAAGAAAAAACATGACCGTTAAAAATGGCTGCCTTTTCATTTCCAACGGCTAAAATTTTCATTTTTTTGGTTTATAAATATGCCCCAAACAAGGGCATAATTGGACATGAAAAGTAGGATGGGCAACTAGTGATAGAGGTGATCAATTCTCACTTTCCTACCTATCAAAAAATTTCATATCAAATAAAGATGAAATATGGCTTAATTTCGTCTTGGACATCTACCTTTTAGGTTACTCAAGAACATTGTTTCCTTCATTATTTAAAAACGTTTCAAGATGAAATATGGAGCTTGCTGCTAAGAGAATGGAAAAATTGTTTTTTAGGACGTATTTTGCTAATTAGTCAAAGGTTGAGGATTGAAATGTTACAGAATTGGCCAAGATTGTGGCGAGGGTCCAAGGTTTGGACATTAGCCCCCGTTTGACATTCAATTTTTCTTTTTTGGAAAATGAGTTTTAAAATAAAATTTTATTTGAGAATGTGTGGTTAAAAATTAGAAAAAAATTTATATTTACGTGCAAAATATTTTATTGTGTGAACGTGTGATTGAAAATAAATTTTTAAAAAAATAACAGAGATTTGAGTTAATGGATAAAGGGTTGTTAAGTATATGCTTACACCACAATTTATAAAATTCACCATATTTTATTTGCAATAAATTTTTTTAATCTTTGCTCATTTTTGTATTTATGTCCTAGATTTTTTCTATCACACTTTTGTCTTCAAACTTCTATGAAATTGCACAAATTGTCTCTAATAACGACGTATGTCCAAAATTTTTGTCAGAAAAGCGTAAAAAACTGATTTTTCTCTCTTAATTTAAAATAAACAATAAATATAAAAGTTTGAAAAAAATACATGGACCTCATCTCAATGTAGGTTAGCAAATATTTGGAATAAATCATCGTGAAACAAGATGTTCCCATTAATTGAAAGTAAAAAATAAAACGCGATAAAAAAAAGTTAGAGATATAAATACAAGCGTAACTAAATATTAAGGACCCTCATTGCAATTAAACCTCGAATATAATTTAAAAAGTAAACGTGGACGATTGTACCTACCTAACAATCGGACTCCGAGAACATCGTACGACGTCGTACCCTTCTCCGACAATACAGACTCTGTAATTATATAATTCTCTCTACACGTTAAAAAGTGACACAAAAAGCTGGAGGTTTGGATTTGTCGAAAAGGGTATGTAATAAATCTATCTCTAATTAAATTAAATCATTATTCTCGTATATTTTTATGTGGTTTTGATTATATATGCGTTGAGACATTGCTGTCTACGTAATTCCTGTAACAGTTTATCGATCCCTTGATCGAAATCCATGTATTACATGCGTTAGTTTTGTGGGTTATTATTTATTTTGATGTTTGATTGAAGAGTGATTTTAATTGATATCCACAGTCGGTTAATTTACTCTGCTTCAACCTTAAATGTGAAAATATTTGTCAAGAAATTAGGTGATCACCCTTTGCTGTTTTAAGGTTCTGTAGTTTGCTTCTCTTATTGAAATTGGCCGATGCTGTAGACATCATTGAGTGAACTTATTAATTATGCAGTAATTGTCAGATTTTAGATTTGTGAACTGTAGTATTCAGAAATTCTGAGGTGGGTATGGTTGGGGTTCGGACAAAATCAGGGCTTATTTGTGGATGTGGTCATAAAAATTGGAGAGGAAAGCTCTTTCCTTTTTCTTTATTTGGGTAGAAATCAAATACTCTTCACAAGTATTGTATAATATGGCTCAGAATAGTAGTTTTGGTGGAGAATATGGAGATTGAGGGTCTTTCTTTGTTTCTGATTATTGAGACAGGCATTGAACAAAAGTTGATAACTAAGGGTCATATGGACATGGATCATGTAACGACCCGGGTCTCACTTAA